CAAACATGGCGTCTTTTTACCGCCATTCTAAACGTCATTTGCAATTCGCGAGAATTATAGAGGCCAGGATTACCGTGTCTTTGTCTGCTTCAAACATAAAGCGTCTGCTAAAACGTATTACTATTCGGTCAGTAATAATTAGAAGAAATTGAGTTCATACTTTTCTTAGGTCAGGCAAGCGAGCATACAGATTCCCTAATGGCAATCGGCGCCCCCAATAGACACCCGCAACACCAAAGGAGTTACAAGTGCGTTGTCGACCTTTTAGGGAGATAAGGGTTTCGTATATTACGGAAGGAATGGAGGGAGGGTTTGGTTTGGTCAAGGCGAAACACAAAGCTGAGGTTGTTTCACGCCGGTTTTCTGTGAGGCCATGGTATCACTCTGGTCGAGCCGGCTTGGCACTCCTACACTTAGATGGCAATTTTTTTTCTGATTGTTTGTAACGCTAACACGCAGATTTTGAAATTATAGCCATTCAAGATAGGACTCCTAGCCTCTATACGCTACAATGGCAACGCGTATCTACAGTCCGTATAGACTTTCACGCTTTATTAGTTCGCATTGTTGCGATATATATTTTAATTGCTGGTTATGTAATACTTTAATTATAATTATTATTCATTGATACGATGATCGGTGTCCATTATTACAATATGGTATTGAAAAGTATTAGTGATACGATACGTCATTTATTGAGAACGTGATTATTGTTTTAATGTGTTAACTTTGTTTCGTTGCTTGTTGAGTTTTGCAGACGGAATAACAAATCTCCATACAAAGTGTGGGAGAGTCATGCTTCGACACGAATGGGTAGGCTCGACTGGAGTGATACCACGACCTCACAGAAAACCGGCGTGAAACAACCACAGCGTTGTGTTACGCCGTGTGAGTAAGGTTCATCATCATCATCATCATCAGCCTATAAATGCCCACTGCTGAGCAAAGGCCTCTTCTCATACGGAGAAGGTTAGAGCATTAATCACCACGCTTGCTCAATGCGGGTTGGCGATTTCAAACTTATAATTAGAAATTATAAGTCCAGGTTTCCTCACGATGTTTACCTTCACCGTATGTCAGTGGTGTCTAAATAATCATAGAAAGTACATATAACTCGGAAAAAGACACATTGGTACTTGCCAGGTTTCGAACCCGCATCCTCATGCATGAGAAGCGGGCGCCTTAACCTCACCACGACATACCGAGGTTGAGTGAGGTTACCGGAGGCCCAATCCTTCCCTTCCTCCAATCCCTAAATCTCCAAATCCCTAAAAGGTCGGCAGCGCACTCGTTCGTCCGTTGCGAGTGTCCATGGGCGGCGCTGATTGCTTACCATCAGCTAATCCGTCTGCTCGTTTGCCGACTTATTACACAAAACAAAAACTATTTATTAGGACCGATTGATCGAATGTTTTAGTCAGTAAGAGTCTGACACTCTTTCTGATCATAATCTGGGAGTGAGAATTCATATAATGATTTGCCCTCCTCAAAAAAAGGACCTAACTATTACTGCATGGTTGTCGTGGTGACTGGGCAACCGGCTGCCGTGCAACGTGTTGCGGGTCCGACTCCCACACGTTAGAAGTCTTTGTGTTATCCAGAAATTGTTTTTCCTAGTCTGGGTGTAATGTGTAAGAATGTGAAGATATTGTATGTTTGCCATGCACGATACATAACAAAATCCTTCAGCAGAGTAAAGTTTTTTTTTTCAACTCTTAGAAGGAGATCGATCTGCAATTGATAAGCTAGTAAATTACTTTGTTGAGTCCAAAATCTTGAAACGAATTTCCACAGCAATACTAGTCGTTTTCATAAATATTATAAAGGTTTTAACAATGTAACATGATTGGCTGTTTACAGCAATTTCGCCGCGTGGCTAGTTTTTGAGAACGCAATTGAAGGCAATTGAATTCACTTTTGATCGTTAAAAATAAGTATGTCGATTTTATAGCAAAATCGATCAAAACTGTAGAGATGTTTGACAATACAATGAAAATTAGAAACTCACGATTTTTCCAGAAATTAGCCCAACCTTGAAGATATCTAAAAGATCATATACCTATACATAGGTACAACACCGTAAATAAAATTATCGACAGCCAACCGACGTGTCTTATCGTAAAATCGTTACGATATCATAATAAGAATTTGAAACACGAACAAAATTTAATTATATACTCGTGTTTTGAATACAAAAACATCGGTAGAGCTACTTTCATGACGTAATTCTGTACGATGAAAGTGAATGTACATTGTGGGTAGTAATTTCGAGCGAATACTCAACTGGTTCCGTGGTGTAGTGGTTATCACATCTGCTTTACACGCAGAAGGCCGCCAGTTCGATCCTGGCCGGAATCATATCTTTTTGAAGGTTTTTGTCGATGTTTTTACTAATTATTGGGTGTTTTTTACATATATCTTTTTCTTTTGAAGTTTTTTAAAAATGAAAAATGCTTGATTTATTCTATTATTAGTCAAGTTATTGCTAATAAAATTTTCATAAATGGAAGAAAAATATGTATGTACACTTATTTTGATTTATTTTCATTCTTATTTATTTTCTTTCAAGTAAACAACTTTTTATACCCATTATAGTTAGAAGTTTGAGCAGCATTGCCCTTTGCATTGGTCATCATCTGAAATAATGATGACTTAAAGAGATGGCAAAGTAATATTTTTTATTATGAACAGACAAAGCTATTGGCATAATTATTTAAAAAAAACACAGCATCTGGAACAGTATCCAACATGTAGCACTTAGCCCCTATTACAAAGGACTTATAAATTAATTGGATAAAATTAGGTTCTTATATTGCCTTCACCTTCTTTTGTTTATGGATTGTATGTCATCAATTGGCTCTTTCCACTCTGGGTAAGGCATGAGTCAGGAGTGTTATGTTATTCCTAACTACAAAACCATTCCAGCTACACCCCACCCCTTCCAAATCCAGCTCAAAGCCAGTGTCATGGTCTTGGGACTCTAATTTTGATGATGTTAAGTATTTTATTTCAGAAATGACAGGACAAAATTTTCCGTAACACCATTTACCTTATAAATTGCACATGAACCATAGTATGACTTCACATTATGAGTAATATAATTTAATTAGAAACAACATGGTATTAAACACTTATTAATATACCTATAATATGACAGTATGACGGCCAAGGAAAACCAATTTGTCATAAAAATAGTTATTTTTGTTATAGCTTGGAAGAATTTTTGTATCTTTCGATGTTTGCCATTCCATTGTATAAAATAATATGGTATGGGTTTTGCTGAACATTTATTTTTATTCCATTTTTAAAACTGTAGTTGGTAATTATTGTGTAGTTTATCACGGACAAACAACAAACATAATTATACAAGGATAAATATAATAAAAATATTCAAGTGAAATTAGGAACTATGTTTTTTAAAGTCTGTTAGAATTCTTTCTCTCTCTAAAGTCAAAAAAACACTTCTCTGAAAACTATATCAAAATCAGTCCAGCTAATTGGGAGATTATCACAATCACACAAACAAAGTTTAAGTAAATATTTTTAAATAGACAAATAAATTTAGGTGACACTCAGAACCTCTTTCCCTAAATTCATTCATAGATAAATCCATTCGAAAATAGTTTGGGGAAACTCAATAGTATGATCTATTTATAGGAAAATAAAGAAAGCTGAATGAACAACCTACATTCAGCCTGTTTTTTAAATTTAAAAAAATGCCATATTATTTCTATTATGTCTTCCTTATTGGCTGAAAAGATGTTAATTGTTGCTTATCCCAGCTTTTGGAATAAAATGATTACAAGAAATAATTTAACTTATCATTAGATGTTTCTGAGTAAGCAACAAAAATAGGCAAATTATTATATTTAAAAAAATAGGTTTGGCAGGTAGATTAGGCTTATTTATTCTTAAAACTGGATCAATAATATTTTGTTTTTGTTAAAAATTATAAAATATGTGGACTAGGAAATTAATTATGGAAATTAGCTCATTTTTGTCCATAATACTAGTCAGTTAGTAATACTGGAAATGGAATATCACATTTACTACATTGGCATTTTTAATATATTTTGTACTAACAAAATATTTATTCTATTACATGATATCTGTAACATTATTGATGTTTTTATATTTTTTATATTGAGTTTAGGATATGATAGATTTTATTAAATAAGGTAATCTAATTTGCAAAGTTATCAAACTTTTTAAAAGTTTTTCAATTATAACAAATGTTTATCGAAATTAGTCTGCAAGCCCCTGTAAATGTTACAAAAATTTTGTTATGTATTCTTTCAGAATGTCTGCACTCAAACAGGATACTGTTGACTGTTTGGTGCAGAAAACATGGAAACAACATCAAACTTTCAAGAGAATTTCACAATAAATTTTATCTAAACAAACTTAAATAAAACATGAAAAATTTTCTAGAAAAATACTTTTCCAACCTTTAATACTGTTAAAATAGATTTTACAGGACTAAAGTACATAATTTCTTATCATAAAGATAAAATATTTGGCTCGTTATAGCACGATAAAATTAAATATAGTGTAAACAATTGGCGGGCATTCCGCCGCCAATTTTATCTCATCTCATTCAAATAATTAGCAAAGGTATCAACTGCATTCTGCCAAGTTATCATTTGAATACAATCGATACATAATGTGACACAAGGTCGCATATTGCCTAAGACGACTCTAATTAGGTAAAAAGGTCGATGCAAGTACAGATGCGGTATTGTAAAGAGCTCACAATGATATCAGCAGCAATTTATATAATTTAATGACTCACGCGTCCGGCTGTATGAATTGATGTGCCCGGCACACGACAATAGTTTCGAAAAAAGTTTGTAGTCAGTTGAATTCAGAACACCGAAAGTTACATTTAATGTAACAAGAACTTTCAAATCAGTATTTCTATCACAATTATCGTAAAAATATGCCATGCAAGAGTTAACCGGTTTGAAATAGGCTTTAAAAGGAATACAAGTGAAAATTACCTTGTCCAAACATTTCAATTCCTCAGTGGGATAAACTGTTTTCTCACACCTTGCGCAAGTTTTATTCATGATGAATGTTTTTAACACAAAAACACACTTAATATATTATAGCACTGGTATTTCACAGAGAAACACGGATTTTCACGATTCACAAACAAAGTTTAAAACTCGGTATTGTAAGAAAACACTCAAGAGCACGATTTTCGTAGCATCCCCGTACGCGCATGCCAAAAAAATGACAAATGGCGGCGGTTTGGGTGGCCAACGTAAGAAAATGATTCTACCAATGGTAGGTATTTTTTAATTCTCTAACAAAACAATGGAAATGTTACCATGAGTAAATAAATTGAGATTCAAATAAAACGACATTTTATATTCCACTACTATGTAAGTTAACAAAAAAATAATGTATAAAATACGCTACGAACATAAACACTTCTCCTTTTGAAGCACTGACAAGGCCTCATTAAATAATTGTTTTGATGTTTGAATCATATTAGTTAAATGATTGTAATCATATTGCTTTTCTTCTTCGATCATCTTTAGTTTATCCTCTAATATTTTTAACTTTTCTTCAGTCAATTCCAGCTTATATTTCAGATCCTCTTTGTCGAGATGATCTTCTCCTGGTTGCGAATCAGAAATTACAGGCTCACTTGATTTTTCGTGCATATTACCAATGGAAGACTGCCTGCGTTGCATTAAAGTAGAGGACCCATTGGTGCCATCAGTATGTTCTTTCAGGGCAGTTTTTGAAATCTTTGACGACTTCCTAGATTCCTTCAGCTGCCTCAACTCTTCTTCCAAGGTAATCACTCTTCTTTCCAAACGCCTCTTCTTTTCTTTCAATTTTCTGTGAGTCTGTTCTAGTTCCTCCCATTTGTGTCTTTCGTCGTCTAGTCTAGTGTTTAAAACTACTACAAGTTCTGATAGCTTCTTTATCTCATTGTCTGTTGCAGTTTTCATCGGTGTGAAGAAAATGCTTTGTAAAGAGCATTCTTCGTATCTCAATAGTTGAGCCCTCAATTCTTCGATTTTTGCAGTCTTCTCCGAAGCTTGTTTTCGAAGAGCATCTATTTTGGCATCAGTGTTCTTGATAAGCTTTTGATAATCACCAATTTCAGCTTTCATCTTATTCATTTTCGATGTATTTTCTTTGAGAATTTCTTGGTAATACAGCTCTGAACTCTTCATTTGATTCTGAAAGTTACAAGTCAATCTTTAATTCTGTCTCTTAATTCTTAGAAACCTTTATGGCACGAAGCCAATAGTGACTAAGTCATAAATATGTTTAATTCTACTTAGTTTACTTCACTTACCCTTTGCTCATTAATCAACATATCATCATGGCTACTTTTCTCCAAAAACGTCTGCATCTTCTGCCTGATCGTTGTTGAATCGCATTCAAGATTTTTTATCCGACATCTTGCACCATCGAGTTTTCTCTTCAACTCTTGATTCTCCTCTCTAAGACTGTCTATATCTTTCAACGCGAGTTCCATTTCTTTCCTTTTTCTTTGTTCTAATTCTCGAATAATCTGCAAGCAGTCATTATTATTATGCGGATTTGTGCATTGGTATTTATAATGTTGAAACGTTTTTACTACATAACACAATAATGCGCCGATGCTTTACTAACTAAACTTTGTGTTTTTAAGCTTCCTACAGCATTTAAGGTCCTTTAACCGATACACAAGAAGAAGCTAAGTAAAGAATTTAACTAAATTACCTGTCCTTGGTCCTTTCTTTTAACATCAGGGTTCGTTTCGATTTTCTGTTTTCTACTCAATTTATCCTCAAGCTCACTAACTTTAGCTTGTAACAACACAATCTGCTGTGCCCTCCCTTTCCAGCCAGCCACATCGTTCTGCAACTCTTTTATACTCGTAAACTTGTCTCCTAGCTCCTGCTGAAGGATTTTTGTGGCCATTAGAATATCATTTTTGAGTTCCAGATTCCTATTTTTACTCTCATAAAGCTTCTTGTTGACTAAAGAAAGTTTGCTGTTCAGTTCTTTAAGTTCATCAGGATTCACGTCTACCGGTTCGTCTTTACACAGACAGGTATCAAGCTTTTCATGTTCTTTGTTAAGGATGTCTAACTGCATAACTTTCCTTTCTAACGCAGCATTTTTAGTTTTGTAGCCTTCTATTTCAGCTACTAAATGGCGATTCTGTTTGCAAAGCTCAGTAATCTTTGCACTAATAATGCCAGCGGATTTTGAGGAAATCGCTGGACCTGACCCGGATATTATGTCACGTATCCTTTGGTTCAGATCTGCTATAGTCTTCTTTAGTTCTTCTATGTTCTGGTCCTTGAGGAACACACATTTACGGAGTTCATTGTTGTCTGCTGTCATTACCTGGAAATAAATAAGTACAAGCGTATGACGAAACATTCTCTACGAAGATAAGTCGAAGGATTCGCTTCAAGTTTGCAGTGATAAGACTTTTAGATTTTAAAATAGGTTTTTTAGTTAACAAAACAAAATAATTCACAATTTCAAGTATCTACACCAGCGTAAAATTTTACCCACTTTGAGCTGTTCAAGCAAATGCGCATTAAGTTCAGGTGGATACAAAAGATCTTCTGGCTCTGGCTTTTCTAAAGCGGCTAGCATTTTTAGCTTCATTTCATCAGTCTCGTCGATCTTGGCAGCCAACTCCGGTACTTTTTCCTCTTTTAAATTTTGCGATTTTGTTCGCTCCCTTTGTTTCAGTTTCTCAGTCATTTTTAAGATTGGTATCGTTGTATTCGAAATAAATATAAAATAATAACATTGGATCTATAATGAAAACCATACGTATTGACATTATTTACACATCAAGTCGTTCTTGTTTTAAAAATTATTTACTAAATAGGTTGAGGAATATGTAGTTATTCATACTTTTTATTGCTAACTAATAGACAAACTGACATTTTGTTGTTAATGTTAACGTAGATTTTTTTATACACCACTACACTCGGGTCACATCTAGCAACTATGAAGAGAAAGTGTTTAACAAACGGCAAGTCAAAACTTTTTTTACATTCTTCAGGAGGCCAGTGGATGGTTGATGTTTCATTTCGTGCAACAGATTATTGAGAATGTACAGGTCTGCCAACATTACAACTTTAATGTCAACGTCAAATCTCATCAGCTGTCAAAAAGCTGACAGTAGTCGCGATTGATTTTTGTCGCAGTATTCGTGTTTTCATTAAATTATAATTGCATAGGTGCATTTCAGTGGAAGTTTCCCTGGTCTCCATGGACGTATAGTAGTCCAGAAGCTGTTAAAACCTTTCTACCGGTCCCCACGTCCACTAGGCAGGTAATAAATTGGTTTGTCCTTGGGTAAGAGGCAGGTGATCCTAGATTTTCATGTCTTATCACATTATTATGCTAACAAAACATCTTCGCGGTTCATTTATGTGCTGTTTATGCTATTACCTAACGTTCTTTTGTAGTATACGCTTTGTCACATGATTCTGGCCATTAATAATATCGTTTAGATGTCATTTTAAATGGAATTTTTGTTGTTTATTTTTATCCTTCATTAATAGATAATTGTTGTTAATTTTATGTTGACGTAGAGTCTGCTGGAGTGCTTTTCTAGTAGTAAATTTTATTTAGTAATACTCTGTAATTTGGCTTTAAATATATTTCTTTAACAAACGTTAAAGAAATATATTTTGTGAAACATATTCATTTTTTGATCTTCTGACAGTTACAATTACATTCGTTTCTCTGACCAGTTATTCTCATTATTTCTTATAGGAATATTGAACTCCTGGGCTCGATTTGAGTGCTTAAATACTCTTAACCTACTTAATATTACAGTATTATATAGATTATACTACAAAATAGCTAGCAATAACACAATAACAAAATAAATAAATAATATAAATTTTCTCCAAGTTCTAATTTGTATTATTACATGGTGTTTGATGGATGTGTTCAAATAAGAATGTCATAAAAAAGGTGGTCTCATAATAATGACATTCATAGCTGTCTATTTCAATATTAAATTTAGTCCACTCAGAAATCCACTTAAAATATCTACAATAAATAAGTTACTATTTCAATAACTATATTTAGCTAATTTAGTTTCTAATTGTTCAATTGTTTGATGTTAGATGGATGTGTACCATTAAGAATTTCATAAATTGGTTGTGTTATAACTATGACATCATATTTCTTAATTGTGTATTTCCTTATTATAAAAATTAAGAATCCACTTAGAACATGTACACTCTATGTTACATAAAGATATTTAGAACTCACTACTGCAGGCATACACATTCTTGCTAGCCCTTTTCAAAACAATAGGTGTGAAGTTAAATTATATAATAAATACATTTTATTTTTGATTTCTGTAATTGTTGTTCATAATTCATCAATGCAATTTTATGTGACTTAATAAAAGAAAAAAAACCTTATATCTTATATCTCTGGTTTTTATTTCCTTTAAAGTATTTTTTTCATATAATGCTTAGCTAAATTTACCTTTTTGAGGTTAACTGTACTCCTATAATCAGGAGTTCTATACAATAATGGACCTTATTATATTTTTGTAATGAGGTCATTTTTCCTTACACAGACCGTTGGTTAGTTCTGTCTCTTTTTTATTCATTTTTTGTTTGTTTGTTTTTATTTGATATAATTTTTCGTCTGCTGTGCAATGTGTAGCATGTTTTATTCCCTCATGAAACAACTCTTTGTTGATCCCTGATTTGTTGTTTTGGGTCTGGCTGGTATGCATCCACCCATCACACAGGAGAAGATCCCAATGTGGGTTCCACTTTTCACTAAAACTTTAATGAACTGCTAATATAAATTTTTATTATATATTTTTTTTCAAAATTAGTATATAACACACATTTATGTTAAGGTGTATGCCTACCTCTAAGCCTTTTTTTGAGGTAGGAAAATTATCAGATAACTTGCCTCTCCCTGGGTGGGATGATGTGTGTTTTAGTCAGTAAGAGCTGATATTCCCACTCGCCTTATAATATTCTAAGATTATCTCTCGTCAAAACAAAAAAAAAAAACAATCAAAAACAAGTGTCGCACACACTGACCAAAAACAGCACTACATTTTCTTTTTATTGTGCTAAAGGCAATGTTGACATTCTTCCAATATTGTTAAAAATTCTGGCAATATTGTGTAATAACCGGTTATATCCAGTTATCTAATTGTATGGGACTTGTGATGAACCTGATGACCTAATTATGAGACCAATTTGAATAAACCACATAATTTGTATGAACTATCTGCCACATACATTTATTTGGATCTTATATGAAGGTGGTAAAACAAAGCCTTAAAAACTAAGACTATATTATATGCAGTTCCATTACTATTATATTTGTATTTGTTAAACTTCAACTCTATTATATTTGTTAAACTTCAACTCTATCTTCTAAGTAATAAGGTTGAAAATCAGCTTATAACCGAAGTCATTAGTAATCAATCCATTAAACGATTTTAAATTTTATTCTAAAGCGATAAAAGTAGTAAATTCGTAAAAGATTTCTGTACAACAATACTCGTTGATAGATTCTAAACTCTACTGCATGGAGATAAGGTTGCAAATCAATTAAATGTCTTTAAAATAATAATAATAATATTTTCCCTTTTCTTACAGCCATGCCGGGCACCAACCTCATAGTTCCAGTGGTCTTATGGGGCAAACACGCCCCGACCCATTGCGTCTCCTCAGTCTACCTCTCAAGAGACCAGAAAACATTGGTCACCGGTTGCTATGATGGTCAGATATGTATCTGGCAAGTGGATCCTGACAGTTTAAAAATGACCCCTCGATGCTTACTGGTGGGACATACTGCTCCCGTCACTTGTTTATCCAGAGCGTCTATTATTCAGGTAAATATGTAATTTTTTGTAAGTCGGCAACCAAGCAGACGGATGGCCTGATGGCAAGCAATCGACGCCGCCAATCGATACTAGCAAATCAAGAGAGGGCACGAGCGTGTTGCGGCTTTTTTGTAGGTTAGGGATTTGAATGAATTTTTGCCTTAACTTAACCTTAACCGAATATTGGGAATTTGGAGATGAGGCCAGTGGGGGATCCAGTCTCCAGTACCCTGTCTAACACGCCGTAACAAAGTTAAAAGTATCGCTACGGTCTTGCCGAAGCATAGCTGTTCCACACATCATTGACAACTTTAAATACTTAGTTTCGTTTTCGAGTTGATTTAATTCTTAAATTGAAGTTTATTTGATAAAAATAGAACCTATTGTATTGGACATAAAACATATTATGGCTTAGTATTATTATTTTTATTTTATGCGATGATATGTCGGCAAACGAGTTGGCAGATTCGGCGCCGCTCATGTAACACCTGAACTGTTTGAAGTGTCTTAATATCATTTTGAAGATTAGGATTTTGGAGTATTAGGGATTAGGGGCGGATGGGGGAAGGATTGGGTCTGATGGTAAGCAATTAGCGCTGCCCATGTATACCTGTAACACTAGCAGAGTTTTTTTTTCTTGTCAGGGGAAAATCATCATATGAACTCTCCCGCACAGGGTTAGGCGAGAGAGAGTGTCAGACTCTTACTGACTAAAAACCCCTCCCTTCTCCTGCTCTGGGCCGAGGTCGCGGTGACTCATTGCGCTTAACCCGCAACTCCGGGAATTGACTGACCGGTCTGGTACTAGCAGAGTTACGAGTGCGTTTTCGTCCTTTTTGGATTAGGGTTTCGTTGATTTAGGAATTGGGAAGGGAATTGGCCTTCGCTAACCTCAGTCACACGGCGAAACATAACAATGTGGTTGTTTCACGCCGGTTTTCTGTAAAATTCATTGTGATTTCAGGACAATAACTTCATAGTATCCTCATCGGAAGCCGGGGAGATGTGTACGTGGGATCTTGTGGATGGAAAATGCAGGGAGAGTGTAAAACTGTCACAGATACATACTAATATACAGGTTTGTTTCTTGTTTTTTTCGTTTTTGTTCTGTAAGCAAACTAGCGGACGGATTACCTGATGGAGAGAGGAAGTTACAAGAGTTTTGACAGCATTTTAGGTGGTTTTGGGGATTAGGGGAGGAATAGAATGAAGGATTATGGCACTGGTGACTCTTAGGACGAAATAAAACTCTGTTTTACGCCGGTTTTTTGTAAGGTAGAACCTGGAATTAAAGTATATTATTTCTTCGATGAGATGAAGCGGTGGCTGGGCACCAGGCCGCTGTGCAATGTGTCCCGGTTTCGATTCTCGTTCGAACTTTTTGTGTGATCCACAAATTGTTGTTTCGGGTCTGCGTGTCATGTGTATGTGAAATTGTATGTTAATAAACGCACCCACGCACAGCGGAAAATACTAGTAAGGGTTTTTTTGTGAGGGGAAAGTCATCAATTGACTTCTCTGGTCAAAGGTGGGGCGGAAGGGACTGTCGAAGAGTATTACTGAATAAAAACCCCTTGTTCCTTCTCCTGCTATGAGCCGAGGCTGCGGTGCCTTATTGCGCTTGCCCCGCAACCCCAACACTAGTGTGGGGTAGTTTACCTTAAAAATCTTTTTTAGTTAGGATCTTTACCTATCATAAACGCGAAATTTTGTAAGTATGGATGGATGGATGTTTATTACTAAGCTACGTGAAAACTACTGAAATTTTACACAGAATTAGATTTAGAATTAGATTTTAGTCTGGAATAAGTCATATGCTACTTTTCATTACTAATATTATAAAGAGGTACCTAAAATTTGTGAGTTTGTAAGTTTATATGTAGACGGTAATCTTTAGAACCGCTGGTCGGATTACCAAAATTCTTTCACTGATAGATAGCTGCAATGTTCCTGAGTGCTATAGGTTACAAAAATCACGCTACGATCAAATGGATCTGAGCAGCGGGTGAAACCGCGCGAGGGTAGCTAGTATGTTATATGTCACTACATGGTAGGTATAAAACAAAGTCACTTTCTCTATTTCTATATCCCTATGTATGCTTAAATCTTTAAAATATAGCGCGAACCTATAATCAATAAAAAAAAGAAAAGAAAAAAAACATCGCAACGGATGATGCGTTTTTTTAATAGATAGAGTGATTTAAAAGGAAGGTTTATATGTACGTAAAACTAGCTTTCGTTCGCGTAGAATAATTTATTGATTGCTGATTTTTGGATTAAAAACTATCCTGTGTCCTTTCTCGAGTTTCAAACTATGTATGTCTGTACAAAATTTCACACAAATCGGTTCAGTAGTTTAGGCGTGAAGAAAAGACAGACAGAGTTACTTTCGCATTTATAATGGGCTGCCGGAACGGTTTGCTATTTACCTATATTATTTATGTGTGTTATTTTACGTTCACGGGATCACAGGATCCCGGACCTTTGGAAGGCGTACGAGGGGTCGAAGCCAATTCGCAGAGACCCATTGAACAACATTAATATAAGTGAAATGGGACATCAGCCGGCAATTATCCCTGTATGCACTATGAAAGTGCACCCAAGGACAATCCCCGGTTGATGCAGGACTATTGCGAAATGTGGTATTAATTGAAAGGGTTATAGGTATTATAATAATATTTTTTATTATTTTGGTTCTCCAGGCCTACCATATGTGCAACAGTGAAGATCTGCGCCTCTTCTGCAATGGATACTATGCGGAGATCCTGATAATGGATCCGTTTTCCTTGGAGATATTATTCTCTCTCAGTTCCAAGATGAATCCTGACTGGATATCAGCATTACATGTGAGTAAAATAAGAAGTGTTTCAAGTCAAAAAAAATATTTATTTCAATTAGACCCTTATTGGCACTTTTGAAGATATATATAAAGTGTCAGTCTGTCGGTACTCTTAGTGAAGCTATTTGCTCGTTCCAAAGTGTATATAGCTTGGCATCAATATGTCGTGGTGGCCCTCAGGTTAAAGCGCCCGCTTTTCATGCAATAGGGTATAAAACCTGACAAGTACCGATGCGACTTTTCCGAGTTATATGTACTTTCTATGAGTATCTAGACACCACTGACATACGGTGAAGGTAACCATCGTGAGGAAACCTGGACATATAATTTCTAATTATAAGTTTGAAATCGCCAATCCCTATCTACTTTCTATGATTATTTAGACACCACTGACATACGGTGAAGGAAAACATCGTGAGGAAACCTGGACATATAATTTCTAATCATAAGTTTGAAATCGCCAATCCACCTTGAGCTAGCGTGTTGATTAATGCTCAAAACTTCTCCGTGTGAGAAGAGGCCTTTGCTCAGCAGTGGGCACCTATAGGCTGATGATGATGATTATTATTTATATGTCTGTACCAATCCCGGGATCACAGGGTCCCGGTCATTTGGAAGGCGTACGAGGGGCCGGAGCCAACTGCGCAGAGGCCCTTTAGACAACTTTAATATATACAAAATGGGACTTAAACCGGCTTATTATTCTTATTATTAATTAATAATTATCCATATTGCAGGTTCTCCGTCCATCTTCAAGAAAAGACGACGTCGTTTTAGCTATATCTATTACTGGGACTGTTAAGGTAAGAAGAACAATTACTTTGTTTTTATTTGATATGCTGGTATACGAGCAAGCGAATTACCTGATGGTAAGCAATCGGTGCCGTCCATAGACATACGCCACACCTCAGGAGTTGCGAGTGCGTTGCCGGCTTTTTGAGAAGGGAAGGATTGGACCTCCGATAACTTCACTCACATGGCGAAATATCCCTATGGTTGCTGCAGGGATGGGGGAAGGGAAGGATATTGATAATATTTACAAGGTTATACCGCGGGCCTGGCCAGGAGAAGGAACGGGGTGGTTTTTAGTCAATAAGAGTCTGACACTCCTTCTCGCCCCACAGGAAAGATATGTGAAAAGTTATGTGAAGATTAACTCAACTCAAAAAATAACTTTTATAACACAAAAGTGGTGGCGTTTTGTTTTATTCAGTGAGGGTGTAAATCATCGAATTACTTCTTCCGCCCAGTTGCCTAGCCACTGCGCCGACCTTGCAGTCATTCATAAGGTCTACTGCGGGTCTGGATGAGGATCTTGGTGGTTTTAGTCAGTCAGATTTCTACACTTTCTTACATGGCAAAACTGTTTTTTTTTTGTGAGGGTAAAATCATCAAATGACTTCTCGCGCCCAGGGTCGGGCAGGACGGAGGGTCAGTCTCCTACTGTCTAAAAACCCCCTGTTCATTCTCCTGCTCTAAGCCGAGGTCGCGGTGCCTCATTGCGCTTGCCCCGCAACACCGGCTAAACATCAGCCCTATAGGGCCCCGTCTGTGGTGGTCTATTGGCTCTTTGAGGCGCGCGCGGAACGCTCCTCACCATACGATCGGGTCTGGTTTTGGTATCGATTTGAAGATAATTATTTTCTTTCTTACTCCACAGGTATGGTCTCTTCTTGGCCATGAAAATAAACAATCGGAACCGATCTATGAGAATGAGTCGAAACAGATTCGCTGTCTCAACGCTTTATCCTTAAACTGCTGCGCTTACAACCAACGGACAGTGCTCATTGTATGCGCCAAATACTGCCAAATATATGATGCTGGTGAGTGAATTAATTTAATATCTATATAGTATAAAAAAGTCGCTTTTTCCGTCCCTATATTTTATACTAGCTAGTCTCGCCCGGTTTCACCCGCTGCTTCATTTGATCGTAGCGTGATGTTTTATAGCCTAAAGCACTCAGGAACATTGTAGCTATCTATCAGTGAAAAAATTTTGGCAATCCGACCAGCGGTTCCAAGGATTACCCTCTACATACAGCCCGCAACACCAGAGGAGTTGCCGGCCTTTTGGTGTTTTTGAAGATTTATAGATTAAGGATTGAAGGGAGTATTGATATTGACCTCACTGGAAAGAAAAAACACAAACATGTTTCACGCTGGTTTTTTCTGTGGCCGTGGTATCACTCCGATCGTGGCTCCCCATTTGTACAAAAGCATGTTTTTTATGTTTTTGATGGGTCGGCAAACGAGCAGATAGATTAACTGATGGTAAGCAATCAGCGCCGCCCATGGACACCCGCAACGGAGGAGTTACGAGGGCGTTGCCGACCTTTTAGGGATTTGGAGATTTAGGGATTGAGGAGAGATTGGGGGAGGGGAAGGATTGGGCCTCCAGTAGCCACACTCACACGGCAAAACACAACGCTATGGTTGTTTCACGCCGTTTTTCTGTGAGGCCATGGTATTACTCCGGTCGAGCCGACCCATTCGTGCCGAAGCATGGCTCTCCCACACTTACTGTCACTCCAAAACTTTAAAATTGTATAGACGAAATTAATGAAACACTTTTAAAACCTCTTCACACAGGTGATTTCTCGGTCCTATGTTCGATCCAAGCGCCATCTGGTGAGCGTTGGATGTCTGGCGACTTTTTGGCCCCAGATCGTGTATTAGTATGTTCTACCGAGGGAAAAGGATATCTATATAAGCTGCCTGCCAAGTAAGTGTGGTAGATTGTTTGTTTTTTTTTTCATAAATTTTGCTACAGAAAATAATATGTCATACTTTAGTGGCGGTTGTGGGTGATGTATTTTTTTTAAAGGTTTTGTTAGTTATACAAGTCCAATAGTGTTGTCCGGTTCTTGTAAGAATAATAATGAAAATTATTTCAGACATCTGTTGTTGCTTAAACGTTGGAAGTACCTTACATATGCTAGCAGATTTTTAACTTTGTTGTGGTTTGTTATAAAGTTAAAAATCTTTTGATAACGTGATTGTATAAATAGTCGCCGATCGCCGCCACTATAACAAAATAGTTTTTATGTGTTCTTGTGGCTAATAAAGTGTGACGACTTTAACTTTTAAGTTTGACGATTAGATTTGATTCTGACTGTGTTTGTTGTTAGACTGTCACCCGGTTTCCGAAAGGCCGATCAATGTTAAAATCAACTTAATCTCTTGTCAAGTCATCTGATTGGTTGACTGAATTATCAACAACCAATCAGATGACCTGACAAGTGTAACGTTTTTATTACACACAATTTTAAAGTTGACAAGCCTTTCAGAAACCGGGCGTTATTGACTTTGACATTTTGACTTTGACTTGGGCAAAAATATTTCGATATATTAACTTTCACTTATTGATTTTGTTTCATTGTCTTTGTTTTATTGACTTTAAAACTTATTGACTTTAATATGTATTATTGACTTTGGCTAAATGATTTTGATACGTTAAGTTTTACTTATTGTTTTTAATAAATTAACTTTGATTTATTGATTTTGACATAATGATTTTGACATATTGGCTTTGACTTATTGACTATAGCTTATTGTCTCTGATTTATTGTTTTCAATCAATTGACTTTGACTTATTTTCTTTGACTGATTGACTTTTTGACATTTTAATTTGGCTAGGCTGCTACAATCAGATTGTTTAAAAAAAATTAGTGTTAATAAAGCCAGCCATTACGATGTTTCGTAAGAAATAATTAAATGAGTTTTTTTGATGTTGTTACTTAGGAAATTTATTAAATTGATCAAAATTCACATTATGATGTTTTTATTATTGAATACTAAGCTTGAATAATATAATATTTGATATAGAAGTTCTTTTTAATCTTTAGAAAACTTGTACATATTATAATTTAAATATAATATGTCTGCCAAGGTATTATGTAGCTCTTATATTATTTAGCTGTGTGGTGGCGTCAGGGTAGAATAGGTTTCTCCCCTCCCCTACTTATCGAGCGTCACACACATCATCAGCTTATAAGTGCCCACTGCTGAGCAAAGGCCTCTTCTCACACGGAGAAGGTTTGAGCATTAACCACCACGCCTACTCAAGGCAGATTAGCGATTTCAAACTTCACCGTATATCAGTGGTGTCTAAATAATCATAGAAAGTACATATAACTTGGAAAAAGTCACATTAGTACTTGCCAGCTATTTGTCCCAGCACCCTTTTGCATGATAAGCAGGCTCTTTACCTCTGGGACCCACGACAACTTGAGCCTCATTTAACTTTGACAGTCAGCGATTTCTGATACATCTAAACTGTGATCTCAAGCTCACATTCGATGAACGTATTTAGTCGAATTTTCTCTTTAAACGCCAATGATATGATAAGTAAAATGGTATAGATAGGTTACGTAAACAACATTCGATTTAAAAATAAAACATTTTTTCATTTAAAATATAAACATAATAGCAATACTATACACACTTAGAATATGAAATACTTGAGCATAATTATATATAAAACAACGCCTGCCTCTCTTCTAATTTACTGTTTGCTGTGCCCATCTGGGTCCATGACTGTTACCATATTATTCATATTACCATCTTATCTTACATTGTGGATGCCATAAAGAATTATGATGATGATTATGAAAAACGGCACATTAATGCACACATGAATAAATCGTATGATACACGTTAAAGTGAGATGGCATGATTCAATAATCGCGAGTGAAAATGTGACAAATATGAAAAAGTGTGGCTAGTTAGCCACATTTTAATGTATCACTTGCTGAGCGCTTGTAACCTATCTACACCTTTTTACTTTTTTTATGGTATAAGTCAGCAAACGAGCAGACGGATTACCTGATGGTAAGCAATCGGTGCCACCCATAGATACCCGCAACACCAAAGGAGTTACGAGTGCGTCGCCGGCCTTTTGGGGATAGGGGTTGCGGATATAAGGATCGGGAAGGGATAAGGGAAGGGAAGGGATTGGGCCTCCGGTAACCTCACTCAGACGGCGAAACATAACACTGTGGGTTGTTTCACGCCGGGATTCTGTAAGGACGTGGTATCACTCCGGTCGAGCAGACCCATTCGTGCCGAAGCTTGGCTCTCCCACACTTTTAATATCATTGTTAAACGCTGTTTTTAAAATACCTGGATGCTTTACTTTTATACGAAGTTAGTTTTAAATATGACATATCAACCAACAAGCATAGTGTTCAATAATAAAGCTTATTCGTATTAACGTTTCGTTTGAATTGGCATGTCATTGGTACAAGTACGATTTGATCAATAATTATCATCATTAGTTTTTCATACGAGCACCAATGCCTATGTTATAGATATTTATTTGTATGTGTTGAGGTTTTCTTATTAACAATGGTGATCTTACATATATAATATAACTTATAAGTATATAGTACTATCGATTTTACTGATCTGAAAGAAAGAAAGAGAGAGAAGACATATACAGGGTATAAAAAGACACTTAAACGAAGTCGAAAGCTACGTATTCTACCCATTATTTAGATCATTTTTTTCTGTAAAACCATAGCTGGGACTCCACGGGTTCTAGAGATATTGAAGGTTAAAGATGCATTTTTAATTTTTTTTTGCGCAATCGTATTCTAATTATTATTACAATTTTTTTTTCCAAACAAACATTACCTGAATTTTCGATTTTTCTAAATAAATTACGCATTTGAAGTTACGAACAGTAATGTACGTAATAAATAAATACAGACCCGCACAAAAGACATCGTGCATTTCAGTAGGGTTTTTATTTTACAGAATTATTTTGTTGTTGCGAAGTAAAACGTCGACCTACGTACTTATCACAGCGTTTTAATGCTAAGCTGTGAACCTACGCACACAATGACACGAAGCCCGTTTGCTTTACATTGCGCGCAATAAAATTATTATTTTTTGATACCTAAAAAAACAAAGTCGTTTCCCAGTGATAATTTTAGCGTAAAGCTACTTATAGTCAGAATTTTAATTTGATTCCTGATTTGACATGACTTATTGTCATTTTGTGAAATAATGATACCACATATAACAGTGTAGTGATGAACACAAAAATCCATAAACAATCAGTGGATCAGTTTTAGGGAGGCATTCAAAAAATTACGGCTACCGAATGGTTTAATGCGTATCCCATGTTGTCAAAGAAGAGGAAAAAATGAGTAAGCTAGATATGTTAATTGACAATAAAAATCACAGACACAATTCATAATAAATGTTACAGAAAGTAACAGCGATGGCTATAGCGATGACGGCGACAATTTATAAAATTTCTGTTTTATTTGCCATGTTCCTTCATGATCACGAAGGACTGACGAAAGGAAAGGGCAGAATAGATAGAGATGCATGGTTGTGGTCGACAGGAGTTCAGAATGTATTGAAAGAAAAGAAGAAAAAATTCAAGGAATGGCAGTGCGTACAAACAGATAATGTTAGTTTGAAAGCTGAAAGAAAGAGTGAGTATGATGCTTTAAAGAAAAAAGCAAAGAAAGCCGTAGCAATAGCAAAAGCAAAAGCCCAGGACAAACTATATGATACATTAGACAGTCCTGCAGGCCAAAAAGAGCTGTACCGGCTCTCTAAAATGAGGGAAAGAAAGGCGAGGGATGTTTGCCAGGTAAGATGTGTAAGAGATGAAAGTGGAATGGTTTTATCGGATAATGACAAAATCAAAGAGAGGTGGAAGGAATATTTTGAAAGACTTATGAATGAGGAAAATAATTGGAGTGGGATTTTAGAGAATAAACCAGTGAATGTGGGGTTAGTGAGAATGGTTAGTATGGAGGAGGTCAGAGTAGCAGTGAACGGAATGAAAAATGGTAAAGCCATTGGCCCAGATGGAATACCAGTTGAGGTGTGGAAATTATTAAGAGTAGATGGATGGGTGTGGTTGGCTTTGTTCTTCAATAAATTGTTGCAGGAAGAAACCATACCTGATGAATGGTGCAACAGTTCTTTGGTGCCCATCTTTAAAAACAAAGGTGATGTCCTTGAGTGCAACAATTATAGAGGAATAAAGCTAATGTCGCATACCATGAAAGTATGGGAGAAAGTTATTGAACGGCGGCTGAGAGAAGAGAGTGACATTTCACAGAACCAATTCGGTTTTATGCCTGGTCGTAGTACAACGGATGCCATATTTGCTATACGCCAGTTGTGCGAAAAATACAGAGGTGCACATAAAAACTTGCACATGGTATTCGTTGACCTCGAAAAGGCATACGACCGGGTACCTCGTGAGGTTCTGTGGTGGGCCCTTAAGGAGAAAGGTGTGCCTGGGAAGTATGTGCAGTTGATCCGATCAATGTATAGTCGCTGCAGTACACAAGTCCGGTCTGCAGCGGGCACCACTAGCAAGTTCAATGTGGCTGTCGGTTTACACCAAGGGTCGGCTCTCAGCCCTTACCTCTTCCTGATAATAATGGACGCTCTGACGTCGGACATTCAGGAAGAGGCTCCCTGGTGTATGCTGTTTGCCGATGATATTGTGCTGGTTGCCGAGAGTGCCCTAGAGGTCCAGAGCAGATTGGAGGTGTGGTGGCAAAGACTGGAGAGTGTTGGCCTAAAATTGAGCAGAACTAAAACAGAGTACTTGTTCTGCGATTTTGGCGGTCTCTCTAGTTCTGTGCCCATAGCTCTCGCCGGAACGCCCATACCAACCTGTTCTGATTTTCGGTACCTTGGCTCGCTTATCCAAGGAAATGGTGAGATAGACCGAGACGTGGCACATCGGATCAACTCAGGATGGATGAAATGGCGACAGGTCACTGGAACAACTTGCGACCCACGGATGCCCCTCAGGTTGAAGGGTAAAATCTACAAGTCAGTGATAAGGCCTGTCCTACTGTATGGGTCAGAATGTTGGGCTCTGAAAAAGACGGATGAAAAGCGATTGCATGTAGCAGAGATGAGAATGCTGAGATGGATGTGTGGTGTGACGAGATTGGATAAAGTGAGAAATGAGTATATTAGAGGAAGTTTGAAAGTGGCGCCAGTGACTGAAAAGTTGAAAGGGAACCGTTTGTCTTGGTATGGCCATGTGAAAAGGAGGGATGAAAAGCATGTTACAAAAAAAGTCATGAGTATAAATGTGGATGGATGGAGAGGCAGGGGGAGACCAAAGAAAATATGGATGGATTGTGTGAGAAGTGATATGGAAGACAGAGGAGTTAGCGATAGCGTGACGAGTGACAGGACAGAATGGAAGAAAAAAACATATTGCGCCGACCCCAAATAAAACGGGACAAGGGCAGGAAGATGATGATGATGATGTTCCTTCATGATCACATTTTTTATTAATTTCACACACAATTACAAAAAAAAAGTCTCAGATCGTTAATTAATTGTCAAAACAAAATTATCGGTTCAGAAATATTTTATTTCCTGATAAACTTGTTTACGAGATTAAATTTAAACGAGAGGAATCGATTCAGAAATATTCGATTCCCACATCGAATAATTTCGTAACGTCACTATTTATTACGTGTCATAACGTTGCAACACTGAAATTGTCAAATCTGGAATGGAATTAAAATTCCGAGTATAGTTAGAACTGCAGTATGCGTAGTTAACGGCTTCGTTAAGTGTCTTTTAACACCCTGTATACAACAAATAACAGCATATAATAAATATTTATAGCACAAACCGAATGAAACGATCGCTCGAGCCGATCGTGTATCCTGTAGACCCGTGTTAAAAGACGTTGTCACGTCAAATGTTAAATAAAGTAATATTGGTTCTACTAAGAATCAAACTTAAAGATGTATTGCAAGTAACGAATTATTCACGTGAATAAACACATGAAATAAAATAACACATTCAATGCCACCGACTCGCCCAGAGTATTCACGTAAATTTTATTCCAGCGCCATGGACACAAGGGCTGATTTTTCAATAGTTAGATAAAAGACATCTGGTAAACAAATATGATGCTGTCGCGTCAAAATGTTTGTATAAGACAGTGACAGCAACAATTATATTCCTCAGATAACATTTATCTGACTATTGAAAAATCAGCCCTAATTCGTTATTTTCGTCGTACAAACATCAACATCACGATCATCGTCTTCACAGTCCATCGCAGGGCGTAGGATTTTATAATCAGACCGAATAAATTACAAAAATAACGGACGTCGGCGATCCGTCTCCTATGACAGTCACAGCGCTCGCTCTCCACCATAATGCGCACGCAGAACTGTCAGTTTGACGTTCCGCCAGAGTACGATTCATTGTACCCTCGTCCGATGAATTGTGATAAAACCTCCTTCAAAATTCAATTTAAATAGTCGACGCTCCGACAAATTTGTCACACGATAGTTATTATAAGTAATAAAGTTGTTTATAAAGTTTAATTGAAAAATAGAAGATTTTTATTAATATGACCATTGTTAATGAGAAATCTCGTAACGAAATTCCGTCCTTATAACTTGGTAGTTTCCTAGGTCAAAATAAATTAATGCGACGTTTTAATACAATAAAATATAGAAAAATAACTGTACTTTTATTCATCGATCGATTTAGATATTGTTATGCTAATTTTGAAGAAATAAATAAGCTATTTGACGCAAAAATACTATGACGTCATAACTCAGTTTTTCATACAAAGTTCATTGAAAAGTATCGTTTTTGACATTTGGATAAAAGTATTGAATTTGACTAGTTGGAAACTACCGTTTTAAAAATGAAGGTTATAAAATAGCTTTATAATTACCTAAGCTATATTAAAAGCTATAATATATAAAATACAATATGAAGATTATATTTCTTTTATAGCAAACTCCGAGGGCGGGCTATAAGTAGGTCAGCACATTTTGTCTGTTTGTCTATAAATTGTATGTAGATAGTTGATTTGCTAGCACAAGTCCGCTTGGTATGTGTAGTTGTATTCTTTATTTTGTGTATTTCGTTTGTTTTTTTTAAGTTTTTTGCGATGTATATTTTAACTTAGGTTCAATTGGATCCTTGGTTTTTGAACGTACCCCAGTATACCTAGATTTTGGTAATATATTTTACGTATACCATAGGTCGGTAAACGAGTTGACGGATTACCTGATGGTAAGCAATCTGCGCCGCACATGGACACCCGCAACACCAAAGTAGTTACGAGTGCGTTGTTGGCCTTTTGGGGATTAGGGTTTCGAATGTTTAAGGATTGGGGAAGGATAGGGGGAGGGGAAGGATTGGGCCTCCAGTAACCTCACTCACACGGTGAAACACAACGCTGTGGTGGTTTCACTCGGATTTCCTATGAGGGAGAGGTATCACTCCGGTCGAGCCGACCCATTCGTCCCGAAACATGGGTCTCCCACACTTAATATGTTTGCGCAATTGTTGCGCAAATCATAGCAGTTTTGCGCATAATATAGCGCAAGTTAACACACATCGGCCTATAAGTGCCCACTGCTGGGCAAACGCCTCTTCTCACACGGAGTAGGCTTGAGCATTTCAAAGCCACGCTGGCTCAAGGCCATTGCAAACATATATTTGGAAATAAATTCAGGTTTCCTCACGATGTTTTCCTTCACTCTATGTCAGTGGTGTCTAAATAATCATAGAAAGTACATATAACTCGGAAAAAGTCATATTGGTACTTGTCAGGTTTCGAACCCTCACCTTATCCTCCGGGCCACAGCGACGTTTTTTGTGTATGTAGGTTCTGTATTGTAGTACACAGAGGAACTTGCAAAGGCTCTCCCGACCCTCTAAGGGCAAACCAGTCCGTTTAGATCTTGAAATTTGTTTTTAATTAGATTAATTATTGTTAGTTAGAATGTATTTGTAATTATTTTGCTAATGCACTGTCATAATAATCATCGTTTTAATTTTATTGTTTATTTAATTTTATTGTAATTTTTTGATGCGTAGTACTTTAATGAGTGGATGGATGCGGGAATGTATGAAATACGGTGTTACGTAATTAATGGTTTTCTTGTTTATTAGTTAAGGGATTTCATTGCCTTATTTACATATAAGGGTAATTGTTTTTCTCGAACGCTCTTTGAGGCACGCGTTGCGTTCCTCGTGTGCCTTACAGAGCCAATAGACCACCACAGATGGGGCACAGCCGATGCCGATGTTCAGCAGGGATTACGGTTTTTTTTTTGTCAGGGGAAAATCATCATATGACTTACTGACTAAAAACCACCGTTCCTTCTCCTGCTCTGGGCCGAGGCCGCGGTGAGTCATTGCGCTTAACCCGCAACCCCGGCTGAACATCAGCCCTATAAGGCCCCGTCTGTGGTGGTCTATTGGCTCTTTGAGGCGCGCGCGCAACGCTACGCGCCGTACGTTCGTGTCTGGTTCTGGTCGGGCGGCGAGCTACCCTTACTCGCCGTCCGCAGATCCGCGCTTACGGTGGCCGGAGATCATCTCTCGATCCCCCACGCCCCGAATGTCGGCTGGGATTACGGGGCTAGTGCAAGAAGGTATCGCGGCCTGGAGCAGGAGGCAAAAAACATTGTAATATTTTAATCGATTTTGTAAGTAACCAGGATAGCTAACTAAAGTTGTCAATTCTTTTTTCTTCTTTTTTCCTTTCACGGGACCTGTCCCGGTCCTGGACCTTTGGAAGGCGTACGAGAAGCCGAAGCCAACTCGCAGAGGCCCGGTGAACAGTTTTAATCTAAATGTGATGGGACATCAGCCTTCAATTATCCCTGTATGCACTATAAAAGTGCACCCAAGGACAATCCCCGATTGATGCAGGACTATTGTGCAAAAAGCTTAAAAATATATGGTTATATAGGGGGCTATGGACTGGTAGATGATAACTATAGAAAAAATACTATGTATGATGCAGTCAACCGTTGGGATGATGCAGAAAAGTGTTACAGTAGGTTTTAATTAAAGTCATTAATTACGTAACACCCTGTATGAGTGTAGCTTTTTCTGTATAATTTTAAACTACAGAATAATATTTAAATGTAATATTTCTTAAGTGCATTTGTTGTATGAGAAAATATATATTATACATATATACATATGTAATCGGTTGTATGGAATGTTTTTTTTTGTATATGTATGTATGTAATTAATGTATGTATTGCTTTTGTAGCTCTGTTCCGGATCATAAAGGTTTTCATGGCCCAACCGTGGATCACGATAGTCCAGTATTATTCGGAATTTTGGCTCATCCTGATAATAAGGTAGCTCTTTTATGTTTTTTGAGATAGTTTGGCTAAAGAGCAGACGGATTACCTGATGGTAAGCAGTCGGCGCCGCCCATGGACACTTGCGAGACCAAAGGAGTTATGAACACATTCGTTGCGTATTCATGACTATGATTTTGACATTCATATGGTTCACATACATATGGTGGTTCATGCGTTGGTGTCGGCCATCGCTGAAAATCAGCGCCGCGACACTGTCTCGTATGGGGTCGCTGCATAATGCTGAGCGAGGGCCATTTCGCGAGCTTGGACGCATATTTTTCTCCTACCCTCTACTTTTGTTATATTGTAGTATAATTCTTAATGTATTTTTATTTTTATTATTGTTCGTTTTGTGTCTTTTATGCGTCCCAGACGCGCATAAATACTTTTTGTTTGTTTGTTTGTTTATATCACACCCAGATCGGAATCAACAATTTGTGGATCAACACACAAAAAGTTGGTACGTGTGGGAATCGAAGCCGCGACGCGTTGAGCGGCTCTCAACCTACAACGGTTTGGCAGTAGCTAGCCAGGCTGATCACCTCGCCTGCTAGGAGGATCCTCCTCTACCGATCTTAGGGAACTTTACCCTCTTCTTAAACGCTTCTGACAAGGCAATCCATTAATTAGAGTAATTAATTTCCAGCTACTATCGTGTCCTCCCGCTATGAGGTTTGTGATAACCTCAGTGGGAGGTAAGCAGAGACGCCTCCTCCTTCGTGGAGACTCCGCCGGCGTGGTCTCCGTGTGGAACGTCGATGATGCAGCCGTCCCTACTCCTCATCAGACACCTTGTAAGTAGATTGTTTTAAATGGTGATTGGCTGGGCAACTGGCTGTTGTGTAACGTGCTGCGGGTTCGATTCTCGCATGGAACAACACTGTGCTATCCACAAATTGCTGTATCAATAAGACTTTGTGTGTTTTATAAATTGTTTTTTTTTTTTTTATAAAATAGGTCGGCAAACGAGCAGACGGATAACCTGATGGTAAGCAATCAGCGCCGCCCATGGATACTCCCAACAACAGAGGAGTTACGAGTGCGTTGCCGACCTTTTAGGGATTAGGGATTTGGCGATTTAAGGATTTGGGTGGGATGGGGGGTAAGAAATAGGTCTCTGGTAACGTCACTCACATAATTCTGTTGCCGTTTGACCTCGGTTTTTCGCAAGGCAGAGTTGTTGGTCCTCACTCCAGTCGAGCCGACTCATTCGTGCCGAAGCATGGCTATCCTACACTTATCAATCTCTCATCACCTTTTTGGATCATTAAGGAACAAAATTATTAACCAATCACGACCTTCAAACCTTCAAGAAACGAGCGTATTCCTTTTAAAAAGGCCGGCAACGCACCTGTGACTCCTCTGGTGTTGCGGATGTCCATGGGCGGCGCCGATCGCATGCCATCAGGTGATCCGACTGCTCGTTTGCCACCTATTCCATAAAAAAAACAGGAAGAACGTATACACGAAAAGTGCTTTTAGACTCTTATGGATTAAAATTTAATTTAATTTTTCTGTTAACAGCGCACGCGCCGATTGTGATGACGAGTTTGGATATTGCATGGGAGGATATGAACCCTAGTCCTGTCGGTATACTCGATCAACTGAACCATCCTGATGAGCAAGGTAAAGGTTCTCAACAACTTATTGTGCCTCATGATTGTATCTTTTTTTCTCTATACTAATATAATTATAAAGAGACTAGCTACTCTCGCGCGGTGCCACCCGCTGCTCGGCTCCGTTTAATCGTAGCTTGATGTTGTATAGCCTATAGCTCTCAGGAACATTGTAGCTATCTATCAGTGAAAGAATTTTGGAAATCCGACCAGCGGTTCCAAAGATTACCCCCTACATACAAAATTACAAATGTTACCTCTTTATTGTATTAGTATAGATAAAAATTGTAAGTTTGTATGCAGGGGGTAATTCTATCACTGATAGATAGCCACAATATTCCTGAGTGCTATAGGCTATAAAGCATCACGCTACGACCAATAGGAGTCGAGTAGCGGGTGAAACTGGGTTGAATTTTGAGTTGCGGGTGAAATTAAAAAAAACTCACAATAATATATTTTCCTGTGTTGTGGGTGCATTTACAAACATACAACAATTTGTCGATCACACAAAAAGTTGTTCCGCCCGGGAATCGAACCGTCGATTACCCAACCACCGCATCAACCGTGCAGTCGTAGTTTATTTGTATGTTTGGTTCAATACGCTATCTACGAAACTGCTGATACAAAAATGATGATCGTTTTTTGTTGCAGAAATAAAGTTGACGGCATCTATATACTTGTTGGCGGCTAACCGTTTGGTGGTAGGCAGAGAAGATGGTTCAATAGTCATCGTGAATGCAACTCATACGGTGCAACTGCAGTTATTGCATGGCAATCATCAGCAACTAGATGGTAAGAGGATGCAATTAAGAAAGAAAGAGAAATCATTTATACCAAACAAGGCATGATGTACCTAAATATATTTCATCATCGTCAGCCTATAAGTGCCCTCTGCTGTGCAAAGGCCTCTTCTCATACGGAGAAGGTTTGAGCATTAATCACCACGCTTGCTCAATGCGGGTTGGCGATTTCAAACTTATAATTAGAAATTATAAGTCCAGGTTTCCTCACGATGTTTACCTTCGCCGTATGTCAGTGGTGTCTAAATAATCTTAGAAATTACATATAACTCGGGAAATGTTTATGAAAACGAAAAACAAGGCGTTTTTAAGTGATTTAAAAAATCTGATGGTAAGCAATTTGCACCACTAGTGAAACGCAACAACGGAGGAGTTACAAGTGCGTTGCCGATCTTGTAGGGATTTTTTTTATTTTTTGTAATAGACCGGCAAACGAGCAGACGGATTACCTCTTGGTTAGCAATCAGCGCTGCCCATAGTGCGTTGCCGACCTCTTAGGGATTAGTGTGTTGGAGATTAAGGGATTGAGGAGGGATCGGAGGAGGGGAAGAATTGGGCCTCTGGTAACCTCACTCACACGGCGAAATACAACGCTGTGGTTGTTTCACGCCGGTTTTCTGTGAGGCCGTGGTATCACTCCGGTCGAGCCGACCCATTCGTGCTTAAGCATGGCTCTCCCACACTTATATATACATGGTTTGGGAGATTTAGTGATTAGGATATTAAAGATTTCTTCATAATACGGTAGTTTCCAACTAGTCAAATTCAATACTTTTATCCAAATGTCAAAAACTATGCTTTTCTATGAAATTTGTATGAAAAACTGAGCTATGACGTCATAGTATTTTTGCGTCAAATAGCTTACTTATTTCTTGATAATTAGGTTAATAAATATCTTAAACTTAGTGTATCGATTGATCGATGAATAAAATTACAGTTATTTTTCATTCAATTTTTATATATATTCGATTTATGGGATAGGTCGGCAAACGAGCAGACGGATTACCTGATGGTAAGCAATCGGCGCCGCCCATGGACACCCGCAACACCAAAGGAATTACGAGTGCGTTGGCGGCCTTTTAGAGGTTGCGGATATAAGGATCGGGAAGGGATAGGGCAAGGGTAGGGATTATTGTATTAAAACGTCGAATTAATTTATTTTTGACCTAGGAAACTACCCAATTTCAACTGTACCTACCAGAAAATCAAAATGATCTATTATTTACCTTGGCAAGAACCCAATTTTAATTATGCTTTAATTTTTCAGACTGGCCTCCTCATCAGCTGCTTCTAGGCCATAATGGTCGAGTCAATTGCCTGCTATATCCTCATCACGTTCATCAAAGGTGGGTATTTTTAATAGAAACTAATGGCCCACGCCCGCTTCGCACGGGTCCAACTATCTCGCTATCAAAGGGTCACTTTTTCCTAATCTTCCCTTCTACTTTTCTAATATTTTCTTTGATTCACCTTCTCCTGACAATAATTAACACAACAAAAAAAGAATTAGCTAAATTGGTCCAGGCGTTGTGGAGTCATGCGCTTACCAACACATTTTGCAATTCATTTTTATATACCTAGTCTAGCCATAAATACTGTAACAAATAAAAAAATATTTTTTCTATTGTAAATAACATTTATTACTTTTACAGTATGTAAGTTTAATACATAAATATAAAACAATTTAAAACATAAAAAGCTTTTTCGAAGTGGTCTCCATTGGCTGCAATACAGTCCTTTAAACGTTGAGGCCAGTTATCAATAGAAGCACGCACTCTTTCCATGGGAAAATTCTTCATTGCCAATCGTATGGATTGTTGGAGTCCAAATTATCATGACGTTTAGAGCAAGCCCTACTCTCTAAAACTGACCATAAATCATAATCCAGCGGATTAAGATCGGGACTAGACGACGACCAGTCTTCAGCTCTGATGAAGTCGGAAACGTTCGTTTCCAACCAAGACTGCGTGGACCGAGCTTTATGACCCGGCGCCGAGTCTTGCTGGAAGGACCATTGTTGGTTATTGAACATGGTGTTGTTAAGGGGCTTAACTACCTTCTCAAGAATGGTATTTTGATACACTTGTGCCGATGTTTTGATACCTTTTTCGCAAAAGTATGGCTCAGTCTCTCCGTCATAGCTTTTTTTTTGTGAGGGGAAAATCATCAGATGACTTCTCCCGCCCAGGGCCGGGCAGGAGGGAGTGTCAGACTCTTACTGACTAAAAACCCCCCTGTTCCTTCTCCTGCTCTGTGCCGAGGTCGCGGTGCCTCATTGCGCTTACCCCGCAACCCCGGCTGAACATCAGCCCTTTAGGGCCCCGTCTGTGGTGGTCTAATGGCTCTTTGAGGCGCGCGCGGAACGCTACGCGCAGTTCCTCTCACTCCGCACCATGGCCTCGACTAAGGCCGGGCGCGAGAGGTCGCCGCCGCCGATCTTTTCCCTACTCCGTCATAGCTAACACCCCAGCAAACCATCACTGAAGTCGGATAATGCCCACGTTGCACTCTGTCGACTAATTGAGAAGCTTCCTTAGAGCTTTGAGCATAAATACGGTCATTATGTTTGTAAAATGTTGCTCAATTGTTAAAATTTTCTCATCCTTAAACAAAATTTTTCTGTGACCTCCCTTTGCGTACCGCTTCAGTAGTTGTTTAGATTTTGTCACCCTATTCTTTTTTTAATTATCATATAAAAAATGTCCAGTGCGTCTCTTATAGGCTGCAAATCCTAAGTCGTCTTTTAAAATACGCGACATGGTTCTAGGTTCTATCTTCATCTCCCGAGATAAAATCTTTTGCTTTCGGACAGGATTTCTTCTAATTCTTTCCCTTACTGCTTTGACCACCTTTTTCGTACGAACACTACGTGGACGGCCAGATCTTTTTCTGTGACAAACAGAGGAGGTCTCATTGTACCTATTAATAGCCCGGTACACAAACATTTGACTAATGTCAAGCGTGTGGAGAGTTTTAAAAATTGCATTTGGCTCCATACCCACTTTGTGTAATGCAATCACAGCGATTCGGTTCTCTTTATCACCCCACTCCATTTTATTATCGCAAAATATTAAACAATTTATTGGCGCCAAAATAAGAAAACACAATGAAAAATTATATAAAAATGACAGATTTCAAATTCAAATGTAATATTTTGTTTATTTTTAATTGTAACAGTATTTATGGCCAGACTATGTATAGAGATAAAGATAATAACTAGTCTCATCTCTTTCACTCGCTGCTCGGCGTCTGTTGGTCGTAGCGTGTTCTTTTAAAGCCTACTGGCGGTCGCCCGCGGTTCGGCCCGCGTAGATGTTTTTACACGTTTTTCAAGATTTTTTTTAAATTTATTTCTACGTACTAACCTTCTCTGGACTTCTACGAATAATTCAAGATTAAAATTCAAGCCAAATTGGTAAAGGCATTGTTGAGTTATAACATTATAACTAAAAGTGTCATCGATATATTTAACGGCTTACTCGCGTAACTTTATGACGAGGAATCCGAATAGTTTCTTAAAGCCACGGTAGGTGCTCGAGGGCGATCTCTGCCCACCTAGAGTGCGGTTCTGCGGTCGGCGAGTAAGAGTAGCTCGCCGCCCGACCATAACCAGACCAGAGCGTACGGCGCGTAGCGTTCCGATAGCCTCAAAGAGCCAATATACCACCACAGACGGGGCCCTACAGGGCTGTTGTTTAGCCGAGGTTGCGGGGTAAGCGCAATGAGGCACCGCGACCTCGGCCTAAAGCAGGAGAAGGAACAGGGGGTTTTTAGTCAGTAAGAGTACTCACTCCCGCCCTGGGCGGGAGAAGTCATTTCATGATCTTCCCCACACAAAAAAAGCGGTAGGTGCTATTATTCACAAGTAGGCATTACTTGACTACTAATAAATACTACTAATAAATGAATAAAAAATAAAATTTATTGAAAAAATTATAATCTGGATTATTCACACCCGGTTTCTGAAAGGCTTGTCAACGCTAAAACTAACTAATCTCCTGTTAAATCTCTCTAAAATTAAGTAATCTATCTAAAATTAACTAATCTCCTGTTTAATTCAGTCAACCAATCAGATGACTTGACAAGAGATTAAATTTATTTTAACATTGATCCGCCTTTCGGAAACCGGATGTCAGTTTTGCTTAAAGCTATAACACGAATGTGTCTACCAAATTTATAATTTCTTACCTTAATATAAAATTTTCATTCATTGCCAGATATGACAAGGCCCACCTGGTGTCGGGAGGCATAGACTTCGCAGTGTGTCTATGGGACCTGTTCAGTGGCGCCCTCTTACATCGCTTCTGCGTACACGCAGGAGAGATCACACAGCTGATTGTACCGCCACATAACTGTAGTGTAAGTATCTATTAAATTATTTATTTTGTACTAGCTTTACCCCGCGGCTTAGTTTATCGTCATCGTCATCGTCAGCCTACAAGTGCCCACTGCTGAGCAAAAGCTTCTTCTCACTCGGGGAAGGTTTGAGCATTAATCACCACGCTTGCTCAATGCGGGTTGGCGATTTCAAACTTACAATTACATATTGTAAGTTCAGGTTTCCTCACGATGTTTGCCTTCGCCGTTTGTCAGTGGTATCTAAATAATCATAGAAAGTACATATAACTCGGAAGAAGTCACATTGGTACTTGCCAGGTTTCGAACCCACACACTCATGCACGAGAAGTGGGCTCCTTAACCTCTGGGCCACCACGACAACATTAGCTTGCTTAGTAGTTTGCCTAGGCTTAGTTTATAGGCTATAAATTAGGCTAATTGCTTATTGAGGAACTGTACGGTTGGCGTAGTGGCTGGGCAACTGGATGCCGTGCAACGTGTCGCGTGTTCGGTTCCAGTAAAGAATAACTCTTTGTGTAATCCACAAATTATTGTTTCGGGTCTGGGTGGCTTGTGTATGGTAAATTGTACACAGGAGAGAATCCTAATACAGAGCAGCATTCAACTTTTTTATGTCATAGGTCGGCAAACGAGCGGATGGATTACCTGATGGTAAGCAATCTGTAGCCGTACCAAAGGAGTTACTACAAGTGCGTTGCAGTGGGTTTTACGGACTTAGGGATAGGAGATTTGATGATTTGGGATGGGTGGAGGGAAAGCATTCGGCCTTTTAACGTTTAAGTTAAAAAAATGTAATATTGATGTACATTTGTTTATTGAATTGATATAACAGAAAGATTAATTTTACTCTTCCCTCTCGCCTTTCCCAGGGAGGGAATTGTAATCGGATGATCTTGCCATCTGTTAAGAAAAAAGCTACTCTGTCTAACTAAGATTAGGTCACGGTAATAAATGTGTAAATTTTGTTTCAGCCTCGTATTCAGAAATGCATCTGTTCGGTCGCTTCAGACCACAGCGTCACTTTGCTTAGTAAGTATTTTAGATATCATTTTACCAGCTTCGGCCCGCGGCCGAAGCCAATTTATATGCATAGTGGAAAAGAGGCCTAACTAAAAAAAATATTACTTATCTCAAACTTAAAAATAATCTATACCTCTATACTAATATTATAAAGAGGTAAAATTTTTAAGTTTGCATGTAGGGGTTAATCTTTGGAACCGTTGGTCGGATTGTCAAAATTCTTTCACTGATATATAGCTACAATGTTCCTTAGTGCAGTCTTTAAAACACAACGCTACGATCAAATGGAGCCGAGCAGCGGGTGAAACCGCGCAAGAGTAACTAGTGTCTAATTTTGAAATGCCCTCTTTGATGGGACGGCTTCATCTAGTTTTTCACATATAAATTGACGTGTAAAAGTGTCGTTTTATGGCCTATTTGCAAAAACAAATTCATTGTTTCATTGATGAGTTACTTCTGTATTCTATTCAACATGCGATTCTATTTTACAATCTGATTAATAATAATAATTCCCCCTACAGGTCTAACAGAAAGGAAATGCGTGACCTTGGCATCTCGTCATTTGTTCCCGGTTCTGACAATAAAATGGCGGCCGGCTGATGACTTCATGGTGGTCGGATGCAGTGACGGCACCGTCTTCGTGTGGCAGATGGAGACTGGACATGTTGATAGGGTGTTGCATGGTAAGTTTTGGAGGGGGAGAGGTGTTGAGTAACCATCAGCAACCCATCCATATACAGCCACGACCACTCTGCCAAGAGTGTAACGACTAAGAAGTTTGGAAGTTCTGGAGTGCTAAATAATAATAATAGTAATATAATAATAATTGTGTATGTTTTTGTCTAGGCATGATAGCCGAAGAAGTGTTAGCGGCTTGTGATGAAGCGTTGGCTGATGATCTTGGGGGGTCGTTATCTACAGGATCCAGTGATGGACTGGCCAACCCAGCTGTCCACTTCTTCAGGTTGGTACTATAAAAGGATAGCTTCCATTTCTCCTACTAGTCAAATTTAATACGTTTTCTGAATTGTCATAAATGATGATGACATTTTTCTATGAATCTTGTAGGAAGGAGCACGGTGTGACGTCATATTTTTACTGCGTACTTATTTCTATAGAATTATTTGAAAATGGAAATGTTTAGTATACTGTAAAATTAATTAATGAAAGTGTGATGTGATGTTTATTTTTAAGTAATTTTATAGTTTAAGTTGAGTTTTTTTTTGGGTCGACGATACTACCCAATATTGTTTTTTTTTTTCATTCAAAAACAATCCTATTGTAGTGCTCATTAGGATTTCCTCCTGTGTTGTGAGTGCGTTTACATACATACAATGTTACATGCACATCACACCTAGCTACGTAACAACAATTTGTGGAGTGTCATGTGGGAATCGAATTCAAGCTGCCCAGCCACCGCGTTAACCATGCAGTCAAATATATAAGTAATCCAAAGTAATACTATAAATGCGAAAGTAACTCAGTCTGTTTGTCTTTTCTTCACGCCTAAACTACTGAACAGATATTTGTGAAATTTGGTACAGACATAGTTTTGAACACGAGAAAGGACATAGGTCACCATATCACGCGAACGGAGTCGCGGGCTTTTAGTATATGTCACCGCCAATCGGTTACTCAGCCTTTGATTCGATTGTGAAGATAATGGTGATGATGATGATGATGATGATGATGATGTGTGTGTGTAGGGGCCTCCGTCACCGCAACCTGACGGCGATGCGCGCGGCGACGCAGCGCGGGCTGGCCGCCCTGCAACACAGCGGCCCCGCCGGCAGCGCCGGGCCCTTGGCAGAGCCCGCGCGCGCCCGACGCGCCCAGCTCACCGTACAGGGCTTCCGGAGCAACCCTGCTGGTCTGACACTTCATTCCTTTATTAAGTTTTAAATAAAAAATCATTTGTGCCAACTTTTTTTTATGCGATAATTCAGTAATCGAGCGGACGGATTGCCCGGTGGTGTAAGCAATCAGCGCCGCCCATGGACACCCGCAACATCAAGGGTGTTACGAATGAGTAGCCGAATTTTTGCGACGGACGATTGCCGACCCATCAGTTAAAAAAAATCTCCTGTGTCTGTGGTTATTAAAAAAAGATTTATTTCTCTATTTATTAATGGATTTGTTTTTCTGTCCAGACCCCGAGAGCCATATCCTGTTCTTCGACATCGAGGGTCTGATAGTGGAACTCCTCAGCGAGGAGTATTCCGCCATGAGTCCTGCTAGTTTGGAGGTAAGATCCTCATGTATATATTAAAAAGCGTGTCTGTCAATCACACATCACATCATCAGCCTATAAGTGCCCACTGCTGAGCAAAGGCCTCTTTCCACACGGAGAAGGTTTGAGCATTAACCACCAAGCTTGCTTTAGGCCGATTGAAGATTTCAAACTTATAATTAGAAATAGGGTTGTTATCAACTAGTGAAACTCAATACTTTATTTAAAAAAGCGTAATTTTTAAAACTGATCTCTTTAAAAAAAATAAATTTGGAAGACTCTTTTTAAGTAAAAAAAAATATGAACCTGTCATTGCTTATTTTTGAATATTTTTATATGGTTTTTAAGTTGAAATAATTTATTTTTGACCGAAGACACTACACAACTATAAGTTCAGGTTTCCTCACGATGTTTTCCTTCACTGTATGTCAGTATTGTCTAAACCCCTATACATTGTATTAATTAATTATATTTGTTCTAGGCCGCCGGTTTAATAACAAGCGAATACATGAAGGTGGCAGCCCTGACGCAGTCTGCCAGCCCTGACGCCACCAAGAGAATATCAGGTGACTCTTTTTTTTTGTAAATTTTGTCAAAGCACTTTCAATGAAACAATGAAACAATGAATTTATTTTTGCAAATAGGCCATAAAACGGCACTTTTACACGTCAATTTATATGTAAAAAACTAGATGAAGCCGGCATTTCCTATCTGACTACTCTGAGAAGAAATGCCGAAACAAACTCAGAGGTCAGTCTCTTTTCAAGTCCAGACAATGTAAAAATAACATAATGTGAGAGAACCGTTTTCGACTCTATCGCCTTTGTAATAAGGCATCATTTTTTTATAAATTATGTCAAAGCTCTCTCTATCGCCTCTCTAATAAATAAGGTAATATTTTTTTACAAATTACGTCAAAGCACTTTCAACTCTACGTCTTCTATGATACGGTTAATAATTATACGTGTAGAGTATTTTACGCAATTATTCTTTCCAAATATTTTTTTGTCATTAATTTTACGAGTAAAACTGGTAAGCTAATGCTACTTTGAAATCTATTGTCTTGTTAATAAGATTATTTTTTACTTGAATGCCTAAAATGGAATTTAGTATTTAATTTTACATTTTTTTTATATAAAATTGTCATAATAATTATTTTTTCGTGTCAAACGATAATGAACTCTAGCTCCTTATCAGTAAGGTCTAAAATTGAAAGATTGTATAATTTATTAGGGTTTAATTAATTTATAAATTTAAAATGTTTCTGTATGTATGTTTGTATTCTACATGCTACCAAACGGATAGACTTTTTCGGCCGAGTCAAGGACAAGGCCGGAGATATGGAAAGGATATTAAAAGAAAAAGATAAACATGGTGGGTATTTGTCTAAGGAAAATTCAGTTTGAGACGTTCTGGGATTAGATTGTAAACTGTTTAAAACTGAATAATAAATAATCTAAATATTCGGGTTCGATTCCTGGGTCGGGAATTATAAATATCGGCCTTTGCTATCTTCGTTTGGGGTTAAAAAGCACAGCTAAAGATGGAATAAAAAAAAATGATTGATGTTTAAAAAAAAACTGCACAGTTGAAGCGAGGTTAGCGTCTGCCGCGCAATGTGGCGTGTATTCAATTCCCGTTTGGAACAACTTTTTGTGTGATCCACAAATTGTGTATGTGAAATTGTATGTTTGTAAACGCAACCACGACACAGGAGAAAACCCTTGTGTGGGACACAGTTTTATGTAATAGGTCGGCAACCAAGATTACCCGATGGTAAGCAATTAGCGCCGTCCATGGACACTCGCAACGGAGGAGTTACGAGTGCGTTGCCGACCTTTTAGTGATTAGGGATTTGGGGAATTTAGGGATTGGGGAGGGAAAGTATTGGGCCTCTGTTAACCTCACTCACACGGCGAAACACAACGCTGTGGTTGTTTAACGCCGGTTTTCAGTGAGGCCGTGGTACCACTCCGGTCGAGCCGACCCATTCGTGCCGAAACATGGCTCTACCACATTTAAATATATATTTGTTCTATACAGGTATACTAGCTAAAATGAAAGAGGGAGCTGAAACTATGCAGACGAAACTTCAGGCGAAAGCAGAGCAGCTGAAAGGTCATATCGACAATAAAGGTAGGTGGTATTTTCAGGATACAGGTTTTCAGTGCAGTTTTATTGATAGTCACTGCTGCACACAAGCGTTGGAAGAAATGGTTCTGCGATGATTATTTTTTTTTGTGTGATATTTCGATGTTTTTTTTTACATGTTATGCGATTTAAAGACACTTTTGTGCGGTTTTTAGTCACTTTTATGTGGGTTTTAGACAACGTTATGCGGTTTTAAGACACTTTAATCTAGGTTTTGACATTATTATGCGGTTTTAAGACACTTTAATCGAGGTTTTGACATTATTATGCGGTTTTAAGTCACGTTGATGCGTGTTTTAGACAACTTTATGCGGTTTTACGACATTTTTATGCGATTTGGACATTGTTGTGCGGTTTTTAGTCACTTTTGTGCAGGTTTAGTCATTATTATAGTGTTTTATTACACTTTTGTCGAGGTTTTGACATTATGATGCGGTTTTAAGACACTTTGATGCGGGCTTTAGTCATTGTTATGCGGTATTTAGACACTTTTATGTGGGTTTTGAACATTCTTATGCGGTTTTAACTAGTTTCAAGACACTTTGATGCGGGTTTTTGTCATATTTATGCGGTTTTAACATTATCATGCCGTTTTAAGACACTGTTACGCTCGTCATAGACATTTTGTGCGGTTTTACTACACGTTTATGTTGTCCAGTGTTTTCGCCAGATACGATGTTTTCCAAATTATTTTTGTAAAATTTATTAGAAATGTGGCGCTATACTTTTTATCTTTATTAATTAAATGCAAAGATTTCGCTAACCTTCTTGTAACTTTACTTAACCAATTGTTCTGATTCAACTATTACCTAGTTACTCTTTAGATTAATTAATCGACCTTACTAGGCTTTTTCGCACAAAAGTAAATTATTTCAACTTTTTAAACTATAAAAATACCTTAAATGTTAGGGAAAATATTTAGTTTTAATGTCATGGATTTCCGCAAAGTAACGCCTGATTCTATAAATTATAAAAATACCTTAAAAATAATGACATTTCCATTAATAAATTATTTTCTACATAATTCTCTAGAAATTAATATGATACAGACCCCGGCACGTAACTTGGCAAGAGTCGTTAAATGCGCAGAAGTCATATTTTAGATGTCTACGGTACGCAAGCGGGGCGCGGGGTGTGTGACAACGCCGAGCCGAGTGCGTGATTGGTGCGTCAGTAGACCCTCGCCCCCCGCACTGTGTCCACGTCTCGTTCGCTTCCGAATACACTTGCGTGCCCTAAAGTTGATCTCTTTGTTTTTGTTAAGTTTATTGTTTCGTTTTTGTTATAAGTTGTTGAGATCAAACGTTATTTTACGTAGACAGGCCAGAAAAATGGTCTATGATTTGTATTGTTACATATCAAAAGAAACTCTTACTGAAAAAGAGACGGTTAAACGTTACTTTTAAATTAATTTAGGTATTTTATTTATAGCACCTAATAAATATCATGAATTAATTTCCTTCCATTTAAACAGATATTGAAGATATATTATGGCAATAATCATAAAAAAATTACAATCACTAAAAGGGACCACTTTTATTTCCATTAAGTGCACAATGCGCGAACTTTCCCCCACTACTGCAACTTCTTGCCAAGTTAGGTGCCGGCTACTGTACCTATGTTTCATACAAAATCATAGATAAATGTCATCGTTTTTGACATTATGGAAAAAGTATTGATTTGGAATAGTTGCAAACTATCTTATTAATATAACAGTCGGGACAATGTATTGAAAGAACTGTCTGTCTATGGACGAATCATAATGACATTTGGCACAGGCATAGGATACACCCCGGTATAGGACATATGCTACTTTTAATCAACATATAACGCGGGCGAAGCTGCGGGCGGAAGCTAGTGTTTTTATAAGAAGGGCTTGGGCTTCCGATAACCTCACTCACACGGCGAAACACAACACAAGCGAAATTTCACCCCCGTTTTCTATAATGCTTTGGTATAACTGAAAGAAAAAAAGAAAGAAAGAAAGAAAGAAAGAAATAAATAAAGAAAGAAAGAAAGAAAGAAAGAAAGAAGGAAAGAGAGAGAGGGGGGTGCATTTATTCAGCACCAGGCACGAAGCAGCATTTAAATAGACAATAAAAGTGTGACAGTAGAAGTAAGATAAATATGAGTTAAAGATTAAAACAGATGAAACAGATAATAGACGCTACAACATGCCCATGCTAACTAACTCCGATTGAGCCGTGCTAATCTTGGCAATGTTAAGTCAATCGCTTAGGTATTTAAGACCTACGTTACCTAGGTGACCTAAACATGGTCTAGGTATTAAACTGGCCAGTCTAGACTCGTCTAGGCGTGGCTGACAACCTTGTTGTTATATGATCGCCCACTATAAAGTACGTGTTACGGTCTTATATTTAAAGTAGATGTTTTGAGTTCACATATACGTTGATTTTTAACACATGGTATGTTGATAAAAAGCAGCCCATGTATTTATCCAGGCTATCATCTATTTACACACCAAATATCAACCAAATTGGTCCAGTCGTTTTTGCGTGAAAGGATAACAAATATACATCCATACTCCCAAACTTTCACATTTATGATATAAATAGGATTCTTGCCGGGTAAACCTGCGGTTACTAGTAAGTATTATAATATTTTAATGTAAGCCAAGTAATGATATCTTGTTTTGTTTATATTCTGCACTCGACTCAAGGTGGTCTACATTCATAAATTATTTCGTCCAAATGATATTTTATGACAGACGGGCTTTGAGAATGATCAGCGTTGTTTACGCCAACTTGTTGGGTGCCAGATGCGCTAAGCTTGTGCTGGGCGCTGGCTATTGCGACTTGCGAGTGCAAGGAATGGGGTGGTTTTTAGTTAGTAGAAGTCTGACACCCACTCGCCTCACCCAGGGAGGGAGAAATCAAATGATAAATTTCCCTCTCAAAAATAATTATGCTGAATTTGAAGACAGTCGCTAGGTTTTTGATCCTATGGAATTTTGATAGAAAAATGGTTTACTGACATTGCCCAACACCGATGCCAAAGTTGGCAGTTCTTCCAAAATAGAGATTTTTGTTTTCTTTTGGAAAAAATTCTGTTTATACATGTAACCTGTATACGACGCTTGGGGACCTTGCGGAAAAGTAGGTAGAAATGAATTCAGAATTCCCTTCAGAATTTGTTCTTTTTTAGTAACAATATTCTAGGGTGCTTGAGAAGGTTCCAAAATCCATTACGGGAGTCCGTTCAACAAACTCGCCATAATAAATTCTCCGACCCAACTTTCGATCCAACATGTAAGCCAAACTCCTCGCCCGTATGTCACAACCAACAAAAGCCTACGCCCTCCCCAAGGCAGTCTAGAAATCAAGTATCTGGTTTCCACCCGCACTTACACACGTAATTGGCACTTATCACTATAGCTTTAAAGGTCATAATCACCTGCCATTCCTGAACAGGGCTTGGCGAACTATCCAGAATTGCCTTCTTTGTTCTCTGAGGTATTTTGAACGATTAAAGTTCAGGAAGTAAGTTTAATAGTACATGGTTGGGTTCGTTCTTGTTGACGTTGGTTCTTGAAATATAAACTGCGTCGTTTTAACTCCTTTTGCGGGTTGGACAGAGTATTTTGTAATAGGTCGGGATTACCTGATGGTAAGCAATCAGCGCCGCACATGGACATCCGCCACAACGGTGGAGTTACGAGTGCGTTACCCATATTTTGGGGATTAGGGATTTAGGATTTTGGGATTGGGAAAGGGAAGGATGGCGCCTTCAGTATTTATGCCGTTGTTTTTTGTGAGGCTGACATATCACTCAAAAAATAATAGTGTGTTTTTATTAGCTTAACTGTAAATAACGCAAGGTTCAATTTTGCTTACCCCTTCTGAAAATAATAGACCTTATCTTGAATATATATGATACATAATATCATTGAAGGAAATATATTAATATAATTCTAATTAGTTTGAGTAGATTAGTAACGATTAGTTAAACGGCTCGCCATAATAAAGTTGTCAACTGTTTGCTATTCGTAATTATATCAATTAAATGTCCAACTACTTAGGTATGCATTCAGCCTTGGTTGCTTATAAATATATTATTTTATATTAAACTAGCGACCCGCCCCGGCTTAGCACCGGTTTAATGCTGATACTAAATGTATCCACTATATTAAATGGATGTTATTATACATATAAACCTTCCTCTTCAAGAATTTTATCTTTTAAAAAAACCGCATCAAAATCCGTTGCGTAGTTTTAGAGATTTAGGCATACATAGATATAGGGACAAAGAATGCGACTTTGTTTTATACTATGTAGTAATTAGCAGTGGTCGCACGTGTATGGCTATTTCCCAGGTTTCTCTAGCTTTCTTTAATTTTCTTCCGTAAGAACCTCCTCTTAATTATAACAAACGCGACAAAAATATTATTGACAAAATTGGTCCAGCCGTTCTCGAGTTATGCGCTTACCAACACATTTTGCGATTCATTTTATATAGATACTAGCTTTTGCCCGCGATTTTGTTCGCGTGGAATAGTGACTTCCAGCAGATTTTTGGTATAAAAACTATCCTATGTCCTTTCTCGAGTTCCAAACTATGTCTGTACCAAATTTCACGGAAATCGGTTCGGTAGTTCAGGTGTGAAGAAAAGACAGACAGAGCTACTTTCGCATTTATAATATTAGTTTGGATATTTATATGGGGCTTCGATGCCATGAAAGAAATGGATATATGAAAGTTTATATTTAGACTAGTATAGATTTTCTATCTAGGGTTATCCTGCGGCTTCATATTTATATAACAATATTATGACATACTAATACCTATTAGGAAATTTTATTGGAATGCATGAGTTACTGCAGTACTGCAAAAATAACTTATTGTATCGTTGTTAATGTTATGGCATTGTATCCGTTAATGTAGTGGCATTAAGCAAGCGTGGTGATCAATGCTCTAACCTTCTCCGTATGAGAAGAGGCCTTTGCTCAGCAGTGGGCACTTATAGG